GATTAACCGCGATAAACGAGGGTTCACTGTAGTTGATCTTGACTCATGGCAGCTCTATGTCTTCAGAGAAGAACTGCTCCATATAATTCTCAAAGCTGTGGCCGTTCAGAAGCAGATCGCTAAGGCCTGTCTTGCTGAGGAACTCCGGGGTGATTTGAACCTCCCACCTCTTAGTAGTGGGGCAGATAACCATTTGTATCACCCAGGGACCTAAACAGATACTTAATAAAAATTAAGTGACCCTTAATATGCTTTAAGTAACTCTAACAATTAGTATGGTTCCATAATGATAACTGTATTGGCTTCACAATTTTTCCTATGAAAGGTAATATTTCAAGTATTAACAGATAATTTCAAGCAACTTTTGTATAACACAAAGAATTAATGAAACCCTACAGCAACTTTTGTTCTACTGTAAGGATACAGCAAGCATCCTTTCCATAGCACAGAAGCAGGCGTAAGCATAACGGGAAAAGATTAGTCTTAGTTTAAAAAACAAAAGATTGAGGAAAAAATCGTTTTTGAAACTTAGACTATAAAAGAACACTTTTCAGATTGTTGAGCACAAGTCTCATAAATAGATTTATATTGTCAGGACTATTAAAAACTAACATTGGGCTGAGGACCAATATTTGGTCAACCACTACTTATAAGATTAAAACTTAAGATCATGCTTCAAGATCCCTTAATTTGATTTTATCATAACCTTTCCTCCGAATTTATAGTTTAATAGTTTTACAGTAGCTCTTTTTTTATCTTATTAGAGTGGCCTAATCTTTTGCAAATTCTCAAATACTTGCCTATAGAAATCTTGACAATATATTGGATTACCAGATACTAGTCTTCAGGTATTAAACACCAAATTATTTATTTTATTTCATCGAGTCAACATTTTATTTTGCAGGAATACCTTTAAACAATAAAAAAACCCCAAAGAATGAAAAATGAAAACAATAATCCCTGCACAGTAAAGAGTAACTATGGATCACATTTCTCTCACTCTCTTCCATCCCCATCTAACCCTCATTGCTCATAGACAACTCTGGGCAGTTCTTCATGAATTCTTAAAAAGTTCATTTTTTGGTAAATACAGGCAAATTGAAAATTCACTCCTGTCCTCCAAACAAAAAAAACACCTCACTGCCATCGAGTCAATACTAACTCGTGCAACCTTGCACGTTAGAGTAGAACTGCCCCTGTGGTTTCTGAGACTGTTAATTCTTTATAGAAGGAGAAAGTTTCACCTTTCACCTGAGGAGGAGCAGGTGGTTTCAAACAAACAGCCCAGCATGTAACCACACCACCAGCAGAGCTCCTCTTTCATCAAATATTAACTAATTTTATTTGTTATTCTGTCTGCTATCTATAAAGTCTTGAATGCTGTAACGGCTATGCTATGTTCTGTGAAATAACTGCACACAATTGCATTCACCGATTTTCTACCTTCGTGTCGTTTAATAACTTTTTGGCTTTACTTCCAAACATAGTTCTCCTTTATCTCTTACTGGGACAACAGCTACTGCTGCTGTTGGGTGCACTCTGACTTATTACAAGTCTATGCACAACATAAGGAAATGCCACCCAGTCCGGTACCATCCTCACCACTGTTCTTATGTTTGAACCCACTGGTGCAGCCACTGTGTCAATTCATACTCTTGGAGGGTCTTCCTCTTTTCTTGTTGCCACTCTACCTCACCAACCATTTTCTAGGGACTGATCTCTCCTGATAACCTGTCCAAAGTACCTGAGATGCATTGATAATTATCAAATACAATGCAAAAGCTGTAAATGAAAAGGAAAGAACAGTAGTTGGAAAATATGGCTTTGGTGATACAAACAGAGCTGAAGATTGCATGACAGAATCTTGCAAGACCAATGACTTCATCGCAAATACTTTTTTTCAACAACATGAGAGCCAGGGACGTCTTCAGATGAAATACACAGAAAGCAAACTAACTGGGAAAAGACGATGGAGAAGCTCACTACCAGCAGCTAAACGCAGGGGCTGACTGTGGAACAAACCATCAACTGGTCATATGTAAGTTCAGGTTGAACCTGAAGAAAATGGAAGAAAAAAAAAAAGGTCCACAGGAGCCAAAATAAAACCCTTGAGTATATCCCACCCAACTGCTGACATTATCTCAAGAACAAACTTGACTCACTGAACACCAGTGACAAGACCAGATGAGCTGTGGGGTAACATCAAGAACATTATACACGCAGAAAGCAAGAGACCATTAAAAAGACAGGAACAAAAGAAAAGATCAAAGTGAATGTTCGAAGAGATTCTGAAACTTGCTCTTAATCAGAGAATAGCTAAGGTGAATGGAAGAAATGATGAAGTCAAAGAGTTGAGCGGAAAATTTCAAAGAGCAGCTCAAAGTAAAATATAATGAAATGTGCTATCAGTTGCAATGGTTTTGTTGCATTTTCGAGCCATGATGTACTTCACAGTAATAATTTAGAAATAAAACTAAACACAGAGAGGGAACTATAACACACAAGAAACGCATGATATGTGAAATGGGATGCAGCTATCTACAGACAAACCATTAATTGTGTAATCAGTTACCTGATTACATTTTTTATTTGTAATTAGAGAAAATTTGTATTAAAACAACCATAGAAGGTACAGTACCGTACATATAAAAATTAGAAACACAATGCTTAGTATGACTATCAAGATATATGTACTACAGGCTACATATATACTGCACCATTATATGTCTGGCAGCACAATCACTGTTATACAAAAGACAGGAGATACATGTGCCACATACAGAAAACTGCTGTGTTAACTATATCTGGTTACCGCTGCTACATTCTGTTATCCAACTGGGATTTCTGAACTCTTTTAAAACCCTTTGGGACCAAGGACATACATATGTACAGTTGGATATTGCTCAAATGGACATTGTGTAGTGCATGACGGTTTATCCTACCCCTGCCTTTCTCTATAGACATTGATGAGCAAAAAGAGCATAGTCTACCCATGAACTAATTTGGTCTCTAGTTGTATAGTTTCCTCTGAATGGGGAGGCAAAGGAATTAATAAACTATAACCTTACCCATAAATCCTCCACTGGCAATGCTCACATATTCTTTGTTTTTCTGTAACAGAAAATAAAATTTAAATGAACCCCAAATGCAATTTAATCACAACTTCTGATAAAGTTTCTTGTGGCCCAATTCTTTCTACTTTTGAACTTATTTAAATTTTCAATGACTAAACACTGGAAAAACAAAATCTCTAAAACTACATCAAGAACTTGAATCACAAAGAAATTAACAATATTCAAAAGTCTCGCCATCTGATAGTCTACACAATATGGTTCACACCACAGCATTTGTAGAGTATGCAGGTTAAATTCATGAGTACAATAAAGTTGGGTTCTTATTTTTGTTATTCCTTACAAGTGTGTAAGATATTTCCTTTAATAAAGCTAACAATTATCTAACAATCCCTCAGCCAAAATGTTCTGATTTTGTTCTTTCAGAAAAATTGACTTTCATACTGATTTTGACAAACCAGATACTCTGAAAAATAGGAAAAGAATCCAAGTTAAGTGGCAAGTACAACACTGTCTTCCTGATTTCATAGTTGAAGGTCACACAAAGTAAGAGACTTAATACATAAACTACTGAAGAAAATCGAATTAAGCCAAGTATTTAATTGAACAATTATGTGTGAGTGACCTTTGTCAGAAAGGTAGAGGGACAGGTTGCATAACACCACCAATACAAATCAGGTGTATTGAAGTTAACACTCAAACACACACAGGAAAGGTGGTTAAAACTCATGAATAAAGACATACATAAATATTCAATTTCATAGCAAAGATTTTAAAATGTACGTAAGTTCTTGTTGCTAAGTGTCATCAAGTCAGTTCCAACTCATGGCAACCCTCTATAAAAGAGAATGAAATGTTGTCTTGAGCCATGCTCAGAATTACTGCTTGTTTAAGGCCATTGGAGTCCTTATGTCGTGGGCTACTTGTTGGGCTGCAAATGGCAGTATCAGTATTTCAAAATCACCATGTGCTCTGCAGGAAAAAGATGAGTTTTTCTAATCCCATGGATTTAGTCTCAGAAACCCAAAGGGGCAGTTCTACTCTATCCAATAGGGTCACCATGAGTCATAATCAATTCGATAGCAGTGAGTTTGAGCCCATTGTTGGAACCACTGTGTCAACCTATCTTATTGAAGATCTTACATTCTAGCTGAACCTTCTACTTTTGCTGACCCATCTACCATGCATGATGCCCTTTCTCCAGGGACCAGGTTCCTCCTGATCATATGTCCACATGTATAAACAACCAACCATTAAAACCACTGCCATCAAGTAAATTCTGACTCATAGTGCCCCTACAGTACAGAGAAGAATAGCTCCACAGAATGTCTGAGAATATAAATCTTTATGGGAACATTCTCATATTTCTCCTGAGGGGCAGTTGGAGAGTTTGAATTGTGGATCGTGCAGTTAGCAGCCCAAAGCTTAATATAACAAAAACACTGCCATCATTTTGATTTCAATTCATCGCAGCTTTCGATAGGCTTTCCTTGGCTGTAAATCTTTAGAAAAGCAGATAGCCTCATCCTTCTCCTGCAAAGCAGCTGGCAGGTTTGAACCTCATCCTAACATCTGCCCAATGGTACCACCAAAGTGCCTTAATCCATTTACAGCTACTGTAAAAAGTACTAGGGCATGAACACACAAGTCCCAATCCAATAGAATAATAAACACATTCTGAAGCATTGAGAAGATAGTAAAAATTAGGTATTTGAAATAGTACAAATGGTTGATTATGAAATAAAATTTTTTGACTCATACCTCACTTCGAAAAATAATTTTTTAAAAATTTCCATTGTCCCATAATCCACATCTCTGGCAATCCAATAGTTTAATCATATCAAGAAGAGTTGTACAATCAATTTTGGGACATTTTCTTCTTTCTGGTACTCACTATCATTAGATCCCCATTTCCCCCCAAGCTCTGTGGCTATATTCTCAAGAAAGCATCAATCCAGTTACTGTCGCTATAGATTTACCTATGCTGGTGTTCATATACAGAAAAACATACGCAGAAGCAACAAAAAAAACCTAACAACAGTAACAAAGTAAAATAGAGAAAAAACTTTAATCAAAAGGTAAGCAGAAAACACTAAAAAGTAGAACAAGTTTAAAATGACTCAAAAGGGAGATTAATACCACCCTTATACCACCCAAATAAATTCCAGATGGCTCAAAAGTTAAATCTACAAAGAAAATACATAAGTACCCAGGCACGGTGCGTGAGAAAAACTGGGGTGGGGGAGAAGACTCAAAACTCAGAAGGTGTGAAGGAAAATATTAATAAGTCTGACAATGCACATAAAGTTCACAAAATTACCTGAGAGAATTTCTTAGAATTGATATGAGTAATCAAGTAAAATAACATATATAAAGTATACCTGTAAAAAGTGTGCCAGGACCATGTTCATATACATGTCTTCTTCCTCCCGGCCACTGCCCATGAAACAAAGGTGCTCTCCACCAGCTACTGAGCCAGACTCAATGGACTGCTTCTGTGCTTCAAGCAAGGATTTTACTGACTGTGCAAACTCAGATGGATTCTGGAGCATCTAGACAATTATATTAAAATAAAACCCTTTACAGGCCTGTGTTTTACATGGTTTGGAAAATCTTAATTTCTTGAGGGGAAGAAAAGCCCCTAATGTTTAAATTGATACCATGAAAAGAAAACTAAATCTTTAAAATTAAGAAAGGAAACATTTACAAATTTATCTATATTAGAATAATAGTTGAAAACTCACGGGAAAATTGTGCAAGACAGTATTTCATGAGAGGGAAAAGAGATATTGAGAGGAGGGGAACAGGGCAATGTATTAGGGACTTGGTAAGTTGTTTAAATTGTTGAATTAAAAAATTAATGATCTATTACATAACTCCCTACTTAATTCACAATAAAAAATTTTAAAAATATATATTTTGTAAATTTCCAGTCCGTATTTTTCTTAGAAGACAATTAGAAATAGAAGTTAGTCATTTATCCATTTATTGATCAGCACTATTCTAGTTACTGGATATCAGAATGGAAAAAGTCATTTTACTCTCAAAGAAAGAATTACAGACAAAAATTAAACCCATTTTAAAGGGGCTACAGAAAAAGTACAGTGAAAACACAATAGGGAAGGGAACAAATTTGTAAGAACAATACAAATAACACAATCACTGAGAAGATCTACCTTACTAGTAATTACCACTGTTTTTAATCTAAAGGCTAATATGTTCAGCAACACAATGACATAAAAAATCACTCTCATTACAGTTGTAAAGTAGAAACTAGTTCAGTTATTTGAAGGCAATATGTTGGTCTCTGGTAACATTTTCTATGTTGCTACTCTTTGACACAATTCTATTTTATAGAAATATTCTAAGAGTTCATGAAAGTATATGTAACGATGTTATTACAACACATTTATCACAGGAAAACTGAAAATAACCCTATAAATTGATAGGGTAACACATGATGATAAATCTGTACCATACCTATTATATGCAGTCATTAAAAAGAATGCACCTAAACAGAAAGATCACTAAAAAAGTCAAGTGAAAAGGTGACAGAACATGAAATATACAAATCGATATTAAGGTCTAGAAAATCAAACAAGTTGATAATGGTTGATTCTGATAATAGTCCTTCAATCTTTAAAATACACACACACACACACATATAAATATATATATTTGAATCATTGAGCATATTTCAAAAATAAGCATAAGAGAACTATTTACATTTTTCTAGAGGAGTCAGTGAGAAAGACATAAAGAACTCACCTACAGAAACAAATGGCTCACCTACATGCTACTAGAGTAGCCTTCCTCACCTACAGCGCCCCAAACTTAGGGTTCTTCCACCTCCACTTTCTGTACGTTTTCTCTTAGTACAAGCTAGACCCTTTTACATACCCTTTCAGCCTCGGCATCAACGTGTTCAGACAACTTTGGGGAGGAGGAAAACACGGTTACTGCATTGCTTCTCTTTCCCTTCTCATCCCTGAAGTTTCAACTGACTCCAGAACAGCTTTATCAGTTTCTACTCTACTAAGGGCTCTTAGTACCTCTGATAGCTTTTAATTGTTTACTTAATTAACTTCTTCAATTAAATGACCCCATTGGAGGTCCCATATGAATAATTCTATCCTTATTAAATACAAGCACTATTGATGAATTATAGTAAAAACTTAAAATTCTTACACAATAATAAACAGTAATATTTCTAGTGTACTTACTAGATGCAAAGCACTATGCTAAATGCTACATCTGGTATTTTGCAGGAGGAAGGCAAGCCACCAGGAAGAATTTACTGACATAACAATGGTAAGCAATAGTAAGCCATTGTTAACAGTGTTTTCTTCTGTCCTTTATGATGCTCTAAGGGGTTCTGAGGCAAAAGGAAAGCTGAGAGCAACAGTTATTAGGGCAGACAATGTCTCTCAGTAGAAAGAAAAACATGCTTAATTTGAAACACAAGTAATTATTTATTAATGGACACCCCCCCCCAAATTGCTTCTCTTCTTTATCCTTTTTAATGAGCACATATACTAACCAGATCTGAATCTAAGTGGAAAGCAGTTGATAAATGCCCAGCATTATACTGTTCTGCAGGACGACAATCCACCACAAAGAACCGGACTCCTTCCTAAGACAGAAACAATATTTGTTTGACAAAATGAATTTGCCTTGAGGTTCACATGACACAGAGTAAAATATTAACTAACCAAAGGAAGGGGAATACTTTTTTTAAATATAAAAGGATCTCACAAATAATTAATTATAAGAACTCAGTATATTATCTCCCATCCCAAGGGCATAAATCATTTTCTTCGTGTTGAACAGTTAAAATACTTCGCATATTTGTTCTTGAGTAGAAAGTCATAAAATCTATAGCAGGAAAATTTATATTAAAAATATTTACATGTGCAAGAGACTTGCACTTATTACTGCAAATATATTCACACACTTATCCAAAGCACAATTCACAAAAAGGTCTTCTGTAGTCAAAAAGGTTTTCTGCAATGCCAGTTTGAACCGAAGCCGTCTACATAGGCCTCTTTAAGCTGAATTGCATAATTTAATTAGTTTTAACTAGTAAGAAAAAAATATTGAAAATTCTCACCAATCAGTTCAGATATTTAGAAGTCCAACTGAGAAATATCTACTGTGAAAGGTCTGTCTTCCCATGTCTATTCCTCTCTGTCCTCCAAAACTTCCCAATAAAGACCCTAGTTACCTATTACAGTGACTATCATGAAGCGCATACATTTGAAAATTAGGAGTGGCCCAACTGGCTCATTATATTTTCCTGAAGAGTCAAAGCGGATACAGTATAAATTCTTTTTTGTTAAATAGTTTATAGCACTAATATTATACCATACAATTCAATTAGCTACACAGTTATCCAGAATTAAATGGTTACATGGTAAATGTACATTAAAATATAACTGCTTTGCTGAAATAGGGGAAACAATGTGTGACAGTTTATAAAAATTTGTGTCAACTGATTTAACACTAAATTAACAACACAAGCTGGCATTTCTGTTAGATATGACCATATGAACAGAAGATTTAGCACAGTAACCATTCAAAAATAAAATGGAACACTGCTATAATAAATTTATTTTGTGGAAATCAATGAAAGTTAATGATAGCTCCTCACACAACACCGATCCTGTCTGACACACTGCAGGGACTTTCACGTACCCCTTGCAGCTGATTTGCTTGCAGGATCTCTGACACGGAGATAGCCAGACAAAGAGCCTGACTCAGATCAGCATCGTCATCCTTAATTCCCAACAAAGTACTGCCAAACAGATGATGATTATCCTGTTTGAAGAGTTTGAAAACATTGTGAAGCACAAACAAATGATTCTTCCTGAAAATATTATTAAGCCATGATAAAAAATGTCATAGAATCCTTAAACAAGTATTTTTCTCAACTTCACAATACATAATTTCAAGTCTTATAGACCAAAACAATAAAAGGATACATAGAAAACCCCTGAATTCACAGAAAATGAGAGGCTAAGGAAAAATAAAACATTCTGCACTTATTTTCATTGCTGTTGGCTCCCACTACTGTTGTCGATTCTACTCAGAGGAACCCTACAGGACAACAGAGTAGAGCTGCCCCTTTGGGTTTCTAAGACTGCAAATCTTTACAGAAGCAGATTTACATATCTTTCTCCTGTGACTGATCAATTTGAAACAGGAATATTTTGGTTAGCAGGCAAGCTGTTTAACCACTACACCACCAAGGTGCTTTATCATATGGAGTAAACTATCAAAATTTTAGGATGTTACTCATCTTTCATATTTTAATGCAATAAAAGTAGCAGAAATAAACTGCATACATTTTGCATACGCTGATCTATAATTTAATCTAATTAGCAAATGCTTGTGCAAATTTACTCTATGTCTGAAAAAGATAAGTTGCTTCAATAAAAATTGTCTTCTGAAACATAATGAACATAACCTGACCGTAATGTTTCAGTGTACGTACACACACACACACACACACACACACACGTTCTCTCGGGCCTTTTACTTTGGTACTTTTATTTTGTAGGAGCTCGTACCATTGTGCTTATCTGGTTTCCCTTCTTAAAATCTTGTGTCCAGTCTGCGGATGACTCTAGATCTCCATGGGTCTTGCTGACCCTTTTTTTTTTTTT